GGCCTGGGCAGAGGGCGGCGGCGGTTGGATGGGGGTGGTGGCGGCGGGCTGAGGGTGCCAGGCGCAGGGGCTTGCGGCCGAGCGGCCTTTGCGTCGGAGGGCTCCAGGAAGGTGTGCCTGGAGCGCCCTGGTTCCCTCTGCGCCGTGTCTGCTCAGCGCAGTGCTGTCTCTTCCGCTGGGCGTCGCCGCCGGCACCGCATCCCAGGCAATCGCTGCACGCACGCGCCCCGCTTCGCCACGGCTTTGCCGGTGCCACCGCTGCTGTCGCTCCTGCCACCACCCCTGCCCACTGAAGGCCTCAGATTTGCACTGCCGAAACTCTCCCATCCAACAAGCCTGGCCGCACCAAACTTGCCGACCGCAGCAGCCCCACTGCGACACCCGTTCCTCACCCTGTCTCCTCTATGTTGAGCAGCGAGTCCTTTTTCCCGCCCCCACGGGACGGGCTGCGGCACATGCCAATCGCCACGGTCGGGGGGTTGTGCCCCATCACGTTGAAGTAGCTGTACGGGGACAGGTTGACGCCGCTGCTGCCGCTGACGCTCGACACGAACGCGACGGGGCGCGGCTAAGTCGGCGAAATAAGGGAGGCGGGCGCGAAGGGCGGGTGGCCCAGGCCGCGGTGGAGTCGCGACAAACGGCAGTATGTGGATGCGTTTTCAGAGTGGCTGCATTCGGTCTTCGGCCACCTTTCTGCCGGAGCGGTGGCAGCAGCAGGAGCGGCAGCTGCAACAGCAGCAATAACAGCAGCGGCAGCGGAGGCGGCGACAGCAGCAGCATGTGGCGAGGTGTGCCCAAACCAGGGTGGGTGACCTCGCCTCACCACGACAGCAGAGATGATGAAGGCGTACATGGAGGCCTTGTCCACCGTAGCAGGGTCCAGGGCGATCATGGCTGCATTGGCCCCATACGGAGGCGGCTGCGGCTGCCCGGGCTGCCACCCGGGGTGCGGCTGGTCGACAAAGCGAGCGGTCCCTCCGAACCGGCGCCGGCGTCGGCGCTGCAGCAGGAGCAGCAGGCCCACGCCGCAGGCCGTTCCGAGTGAGAAACCGCCCGTGGCTGCCAGAAGCGCTGGTGTATGCATGCTCGCTACTCTGCGCCTGCGTGGCGTGTGGTCATCGACCCGGCGATGCGTTTCAAAGTCACTGACAACGAAATAGATTGAGCCCGAATGCTGTGTAGCGCAGAACAAGTACGTCGTGAAAGCGTCCCTTCTTGTGAATGAATCATATGCATGTCACCCGAGTGATCTGACGTTTGATCCAGTGCGATCACCGCCTATCTCCGGCCCATTGCACGTCCATCCAGCCATGGCTCTCTATCTGGGCTTGGACGTTGGCACGCAAGGTGTTAAGGCAGTCGTCTATGATGCTCCGTCCCGCCGCATCGTCGCTCGTGGCGCGTACCCCCTGTCCCTGCTGCCAACCGTCATCCCAGGCCGCGCGGAGCAGCACCCCCAGTCATGGATAGATGGCGTACGCAGCGCTGCGCGCCAGGCATTGGCTGGCGTGGACGCCACCCGCGTCAAAGCCGTCGGGGTCAGCGGCCAGCAGCACGGGTGCGGCCGTGGTCAAGTAGTGACAGCGGCAGAGCTGACTGATTGCTATTTACGCGACCGCCTCCTCACCAGGACAGTCGATGCAGCAGCACGCGGGCAGGTAGACAGGCTGCGCCCTGCAAGAGCGTTGCATGCGTGTCAGTCGTGCCGTATGCTGCCGCGCCCCATTTCAACTGCCCACGCCTCCTGTGCAACTTCACCCGGCAGGCTTGTAGTGTTGGGGGAGGGAGGGGAAGTTTTGCGCGCCAGCAAGCTCTGGTGGGCTGCCGCAGAGCTTGTCAGCTCCCCACGCTCGTCACCCCTGGCCCGTTTTGAATGTCCGTGCTGTCCCCAAGGCAGGCCAGCAGCGTCGGCAGGGGCCAGGGGCAGCAGGCTCCCCTGCAGAATGGGTGCGACCGCCCACTCGCCGCCTATAAATCGCGATGCTCCGAGCAGCGCCTACACCAGCCGCGTGCGCGCACTGTGCTAGGCGTCCGCGTCACCACGTCCCCCCTCAAGGCCCCAGTGTCCCCCATAACCGCTGCCACCAGGTGTGACACTGAGTCGGCGCGGGAGGCCGAGGAGCTCTCAGCCAAGCTGGGGACCACCCTGGTGAGGGAAGAGACACATCCAATGACTTGACCCAGTCCATCGATCCTGAGAGCCATTCCTGCACCTAAGCACCCATCCCCATCCGCAGCTCCTTCCCACACCCAGCAGGATCCAGCATGATCGCCCTAGCATCAGCCTCGCGCCCCTCTACCCCTCAGACCGCCCAGCTGCCTGCACTCGAGCACCTCCCATCACACCCTGAGCCACCATGCCGGGTCCTGTGCCCTGCATATCCCACCCCACCCCACCGCCTCCTCCTCCCCCTCCCCCCCTCCTCTTTGACACCAGCCCCGTCCCTCTCGGCATCTACTCCGCACAGCACCGCACTACCCTGATCCCCATCACCACCCCCTTTTCGCCCAACCATCCATCCCTCTACACAGGTGGCCAGCTTCACGGCGACAAAGCTGCTGTGGCTGCTGCGCCACGAGCCCGAGGTCTACGCGGCCACCAGGCACGTGCTGCTGCCGGGCAGCTACGTCAACTACTGGCTGACAGGGCGCATGGCCATGGAGGTCAGCAACATGTGTGTGTGTGTGTGTGTGTGTGTGTGTGTGTGTGTGTGTGTATGGTTTGGGGACAGGTGCACGCAAGGGTGCATGTGTGCGCATGTGTGGAACTTTGTACGTGTGTCGGCGTGCGCGCGCGTGCAAGCGCGCGGGCGGCACGATGCATCGTTTGCGCATGCTCGTGGATGAGGTGGTGAGGAGCTGCGGCATGCGCTCGCGGCGTCAGATTGTGAATGTGGGGGGCACAGGCTCCTATCCATGGGCACAACGCCGACCACAGGTGCGGCGTGTGATGAACATGCGCGTTGTGCCAGCACGTCTGCATGCATGCGTTACCCTAAACATGCCTGAAACGCGTCATGCGGCAGCTGTCGTCTTGACCAAGTCAATCCCGGTCAACCCTGCCGCCCCTCCACCAGGCTGGTGACGCGAGCGGGACCGGCATCTTTGACGTCGCAGCGCGCACCTGGGATGATGCTGCGGCCGCGGCGGTCGACACGCGGCTGCCGGGGTTGCTGCCGCCGCTGCTGGGGCCAGAGGAGGTGCGGAGGGGGCGGGGGCGGTCGCGGTGACGGCACGACCGACCCAAACAGCTGCTCGTCGCCTTGCACGTGGCGCTGTGTGGCGCCAGGCGCGGTGTTGCACCTGACGCGGTGTGTCTCTCATTGACAAGGCAAGCTGATATCAGGGGGATGTGTTGAGGTGCTGCGGACCCTGGAGCATGCGATTGCTAATGGCCGACCCGCTCTTCCTCTGGCACGTCCAAGCGGCGCACGCCATCACCCCCCATCGTGTTGCCACTCGCTGCGCCTGCAGGCTGTCGGGACCCTGCGGCCCGAGGCCGCCGCGGAGCTGGGGCTTGGCCCCGATGTCCTGGTGTCACCCGGCAGCGGTGACAACGCCATGAGCGCCCTGGGCTCCGGCGTCACCCGCGACGGCCAGCTCGTGGTGTCACTCGGCACCTCGGGGACGCTCTTTGGGGTGTCGGGTGCCCCCATCGTCGACGCGACCGGCGCCATTGCGCCGTTTTGCGACGCGACGGGCGCGTGGCTGCCGCTTGTGTGCACCCTCAACTGCACGCGCGCGGCGGAGGAGGCGCGGGAGGCGTTCGGGCTAAGCCAGGAGGAGGCGACGCGGCTAGCGGCAGATGAGGAGGCGGGCTGCAGGGGCGTGAACTTTATACCTTACCTGGCCGGCGAGAGGACGCCTAACTGGCCCAACAGCAGCGGCACGATCCTGGGGCTGCGGCCAGGTGCCTTAGGGCCTTTGGCTGCAGCAATACATGGTTGGGGCAGCTTGGGCAGGGACAGAATACCAGCCTGCTCTCCTGCGTATGAGCCACCCCACGCACTCAAAAACGCGGCTGCGCTGCGCTGCGGTGCGCCGGCGTCCGCTTCATTTCAAGTGCGGGTGCCTGCACGCCGGGCCACGCGGCCCCCACGCGCCCTCCTGCAGGCCTGCTGCGCGGCGGCCTGCTGTATCGCGCCGCGCTGGAGGGCGCCACCTTCAGCCTGAGGGCCGGCCTGGAGCGCATGCAGGCGCGTCGGTGGGGGCGCATGTTGTTTCAACGGGCGCGCCTGTCCTGCAGGCCCCTGCCGTCCCCGCCCCAGATTGCTGTACTTTTTTGTCGCGCTTTGTTGGCATCAAGGATAAGCCGACCAACCCACGGCCACTGAGCACCACCAACAGATCATCCGCCTTGTCTCTATGGACTGCCAATGCCTTGGACCTCTTTGTTCCCTCAGAGGCTCTGGCTCTCTGCCCTCACATTCGACACCCTCATCTCTTATCAGGCTACAGAGTTGTGGGTTTGAGGATCCACCACCCCTTGTCCTACAGCCCACCCCCACCTCCAACCCCGACCCAAGCCGCACTGTTTGGCCCCTCCATCACCACACAC